ATGCAAATCAAAATCACAATGAGGTATCACCTCACACCGTTCAGAATGGCCATCATCAAAAAATCTACAAACAATAAATGCTGGAGAGGGTGTGGAGAAATGAGAACCCTCTTGCACTGTTGATGGGAATGTAAATTAATACAGCCACTCTGGAGAACAGTATGGAGCTTCCTTAGAAAATAAAAATAGAACTACCATATGACCCAGCAATCCCAGTACTGGGCATATACCCTGAGAAAACCATAATTCAAAGAGAGACATGTACCACAATGTTCATTGCAGCACTATTTGCAACAGCCTGGACATGGAAGCAACCTAAATGTCCAATGACATATGAATGGATAAAGAAGATGTGGCCTCTATATACAATGGAATATTTCTTAGCGATAAAAAGAAATGAAATTGAGTTATTTGTAGTGAGGTGAATGGATCTAGAGTCTGTCATACAGAGTGAAGTAAGTCAGGAAAAGAAAAATAAATACCATATGCTAACACATGTATATCGAATCTAAAAAAAAAAAAAAAGGTTCTGATGCACCTAGGGGCAGGATAGGAATAAAATCGCAGAGGTAGAGAATGGACTTGAGGACACGGGGAGGGGGAAGGTTAAACTGGGATGAAGTGAGAGAGTGGCTTGGACATATATACACTACCAAATGTAGAATAGATAGCTAGTGGGAAGCAGCCACATAGCACAGGGAGATCAGCTCAGTGCTTTGTGACCACCTAGAGGGATGGTTTAGGGAGGGTGGGAGGGTGACACAAGAGGGAGGAGATATGGGGATATATGTATATGTACAGTTGATTCACTTTGTTATAAAGCAGAAACAATACACCATTGTTAAGCAATTATACTCCAATAAAGATGTTAAAAAAATATAAAGCTTATCATACTAGCAAAAAAACAAAAACAATGAAACAAAACAAATATCCTATGCTAACACATATATATGGAATCTAAAAAAAAAAATGGTTTTGATGAACCAAGGGGCAGGACAAGGATAAAGATGCAGGCGTAGAGAATGGACTTGAGGACACGGGGAGGGGGAAGGGTAAGCTGGGATGAAGTGACAGAGTAGCATTGACAATATACACTACCAAATGTAAAATAGATAGCTAGTGGGTAGCAGCTGCATAGCACAGGGAGATCAGCTCCGCACTTTGTTAGACTTAGAGGGGTGGGATAGGGAGGGTGGGAGGGATTAACAAGAGGGAGGGGGTATGGGGATATATGTATACATATAGCTGATTTACTTTGTTATACAGCAGAAATTAATACAACATTGTAAATCAACTATACTCCAATAAAAATGTTAATAAAATAAAATACTTAGGAATAAATCTATCCAAGGAGTTAAAAGACTTATATTCTGAGAACTATAGAAGATTGATAAAGTAAAGTGAAGATGATAAGAAAGAAATGGAAAGGTAGCCCATGCTCTTAGATTGGAAGAATTAATATCATTAAAATGGCCATACTACCCAAAGCAATCTACAGATTTAATGTGATCCCTATCAAATTACCCATGACATTTTTCACAAACCTAGAACAAATAATCTTAAAATTTATGTGGAACCATAAAAGACCCAGAATTGCCAAAGCAATCCTGAAGTAAAAGAACAAAGCAGGAGGCATAACCTTCCCAGACTTCAGACAATACTACAAAGCTACAGTAATCGAAACAGTGTGGTATCGGCACAAAAACAGACATATGGATCAATGGAACAGAATAGACAGCCCAGAAATAAACCCACACACCGACAGTCAATTAATCTTTCACATAGAAGGCAAGAATGTACATGGAGAAAAGACAGTCTCCTCAGCAAGTGATGTTGGGAAAGTTGGACAGCCACATTTAAATTAGTGAAGTTAGAACACACCCTCACACCATACACAAAAATAAACTCAAAATGGCTTAAAGACTTAAATATAAGACATGACACCAAAAAACTACTAGAAAAAAACATAGGTAAAACATTCTCTGATATGAATTCTAGAAATGTTATCTTAGATCAGCCTCCCAAGACAAAAGAAATAGAAGTAAAACTAAACACATGGTACCGAATTAAACTTATAAGCTTTTGCACAGTGAATGAAACCATAAACAAAATGAAGACAACCTATGGACTGCAAGAAAATATTCGCAAATGATGCGACCAATAAGGGCTTAATTTCCTAAATATACAAACAGCTCATACAACTCAACATCAAAAAAACCCAACCCAATCAAAAAATGGACAGAAGACCTAAACAGACATTTCTCCAAAGAAGACGTACAGATGGCCAATAGGCGCATGAAAAGATGCTCAACTTTGCTAATTATTAGAGAAACTCAAATCAAAAATACAAGCATCTCACACTGGTCAGAATGGCCATCATTAAAAAGTCTACAAATAATAAATGCTGGAGAGGGTGTGGAGAAAAGGGAAACCTCCTACACTGTTGGCAGGAATGTAAATTGGTGCAGCCACTGTGGAAAATAGTACGGAAGTTTCTCAAAAAACTAAAAATAGAACTACCATATGACCCAGCAATTCCACTCCTGGTTATATATCAGAAAAATACAAAAACACTAATTTGAAAAGATTCACACACCCCAATGTTCATAGCAGCAGTATTTACAATAACCAACACATGGAAGCAACCTAAGTGTCTATCAACAGATGAATGGATAAAGAAAATGTGGTACATATACACAATGGACTACTACTCAGCCATAAAAAAGAATGAAATAATGCCGTTTGCAGCAACGTGGATGGACCTAGAGATTACCATACTAGGTGAAGTTAAGTCAGACAAAGACATATCATATGATAACACTTACATATGGAATTTAAAATACGATACACAAGGACTTATTTACAAAACAGAAACAGACTCATAGACATAGAAAACAAACTTATGATTACCAAAGGGGAAGGGGAAGGAGGGATAAATTAGGAGTTTTGGATTAGCAGATACAAACCACTATATATAAAATAGATAAACAACAAGGTCCTACTATACATCACAGGGAACTATGTTCAATATCCTATAATAAACCATAAAGGAAAAGAATATGAAAAAGAATATATATATATATGTGTATATATATAACTGAATCACTTTGCTGTACACCAGAAAATAACAAAACATTGTAAATTAACTACACTTCAAAAAATATATATATATATGGATCCTTTTCCATACCTCAACCTAAAATAATACTTAAGCAACCAAATTAAAACATTTGATTATCTGTTGTTGTTGTTGCCAAGATACTTATTCAACCCTTCCCCTTAGCTTTCACAGTATAGAGCAGGAATTCAAATCCTGGAGTGGAAACTAAAATATTCCAGATGAGACCCCGGCTTAACAGGTTAGAAGTATTTTAAGATAACCTCAGGTCTCCAGAAGTTTCAAAAATAATTATAAAGACTATCAGTAACTGAAGGGGAAATCCAACACTTGTCGTGTGACATAGTAGGTGCTCAGTACAGGTTTATGAAAGAAAACATTTTTCCCTGAAGTTTTCTCTCTCTATCTAGGTTGGAACACAATGTTATTTTGTAGAAATTATTTTATAAACATGTTGAGGGATGCATTTATTTAACTGTTTAGGCTTAGACCAGGTCTGCTACTATAAAGTAAGACAAATCAATCATTTTCTACTGATTCTGGGCAGTGTTAACAGCAGAATCAAATAATTAAATAATCAAAATGAGCTGGATAAAAGGGCACAGAGTTGGTGTGTTCCAAACAGACGTTATATTGAATCCTTATACATCTCTTTTTCGTGTTCAAACATCTGCTTCTTTCCGGTGATTATTTGGAAAATAAAAGTTTAAGGGATAGCTGGGTTCATCACGCACAGGACGGTTATCAGTCTTTATGTGGAGGGACCACAACACTCACGGGTTGCTTGCTTCACTCATGGCTGGCCCTGCCTTCCTTGAGTAAATGTCTATACTCTCCTTATAACTATGTCTGTCCCTTAACTGTTCATCCAGTGATGACTGCAGTGCATTGTATTTATTTTGTCGGGCACCTTATACATTTGATTGGTGTTGGTGTTTTGATCTTTAATTAATCATTTATTTAATATGTAATGATTATTATATTGGAATTGTAATTACATAATGAAGATCCACTTTCAAGGCATTACACATTTCAAATGCCTTTGGAATAACAATTTTGCCTTTTAAAACACCACTTTGTATGTGTTTACAACTGAAATACAAATGGGAAGATTAGAATTTGACACAATCTACGTTTATTATTATTATTATTGCTACTACTACTACTACAAAATTATTTAACAGCTATATCTTGGATATAAGGTAACATACCAAAAACCAAGGCCATAACTTTGATAACTTTTTTAATTCTTACTCTATCTTGGCTTAAATATAATGCTGTGATTAAATGGAGTATACAGCAATCACAATACAATAAGTGAAGGCTATATCATATATTTTCCATGGAAAAATTTGTATCACAAATTGTTCATATATACTTTTGTTCAATTTTCTGTTTTAAAGGAAATATTGGGAATATTGGTTTTGCACCCAATTGTTTATCCAGACATGCTCAAAGGAGAGATGTCTTAATGGAAGAAGGACAATTGAAGCACAAAATGGAAACTTGCCTCAAAGAAGAGATCTGGAAAGGTTACGGTGAACCACAGTTACTGAAGCGTACTGTGTATCTCTGTGCTCTCTGCCTTTTTAACCTGTGAGATGTGACCTGATTTTTCCCTCTCATTCAATCAAGGTCATCACTAAACTTCCAGAATATCAAAAATAAAATAACATGAAGGAGGAAAAGACAAAGAAGAGTTTAGGTGTATATTTAAAAATACCACATTGGTTTAAAATAACTTACAATGAAAGGGTCACTTAAGAAGGGCACTGCTTAAAATTTAAGCAGGCAGTAATGGAAAGCGACAGACCTCAAACAATTTGTCTTTCACAGTTGAGTGAATTCACAGTGACAGCAAGACAAGGATGTGCTAACTTACCTCTGCAGGACCTTGGCTGTTGCTTCATAGGCTCTCCCCAGGCTGAGATCATCATCCAGGTCTGTAGAGATTTTAGCATAAGCGTTAAGGACCTATGGGGGAAGAGGAATCCTTATTGAACATATAACATGACCAGATTCACTGATGTTTCATTTCATAACAGAAAAGATTCAAATTAAGAGTTGTTTTTCACATCACCATAAAATATTTTTTTGTTTATTAAAAATTCATGTTGGTTTGGTTTATTTTTATCTATAGTATAACTTGTTTTGCAGTGATCTCTTTGAGCCATGACAGTGAAGTCTTACTTTTGTAAAAGTAATTCTTTTCCTGAACAATCCAAAATCTTCCAATTGATATAACTTAGGGGTGAGTAAATAATTGGATGGTTTACAACATTATTTTCAAATATGGGACCACTATCTTAGGTAATATAAGGCAGATTATAATAGTCTACTAGGGTAGCTTAAATATCACTTTTCCTTCTATAAATAGCTGTTTGAAAAGCATGAATTTATGTGCCAGGCAATTTCTAAATCTATCATTTTATTAGAGGCATATCTCACAGTTTGTACACATATTCAGTATACACTAAAAATATTTCTTACAAATGTACTTCATTACCAACAATCTCTTCAATAATCAAAAGATTATGGCTGCCACAGCCAGACGTATGATCTTAACACTGACATCATCTGCATGGTATAATTTTCCTTTTTATTCTTTTTCCCTTTCGAAGGCCAGAAGAAGGAAAATATGTAAAATAAAATCCCCTTTTCCTCTTCCTCCTTCATTGTTACTTGAACCAACCTATTACACACATGAAGACACAGGAAATCTCCAAAGACCTCTATGGAAATCCTTTTTGCTCATTTTCTAAGAAGAAATTAGCAAAAGGCATTTGATGGCGTTGAGTGGGAGAGTCAGCATGAGGGAGGATGTACATCCGGCCTGAATTAGGCATCTTAGAAAATTTGTGTATGAAAGGCGGTGTTGGTATTCAGCTTTACTTTCTTAAAGTTAATATTTGGGAAATAACTTCAGTGAGGCCATGTGATACCTCCTAATTTGTGTGTGTATGTGTGTCTGTGTGTGTGTGTGGTTTACAAGTGACTTGAAATAATACTGGTATTAAAACTTACTGATACATATTGACCCAGTATTTTAATTCCTGTTAAACCTGCAAAGTTCATCATTTTGGTTCTTCTTTTTAAGTCTCTTAATAAGCCTTGTATAAACCTGAGACTATTCTTTTCACTCTGTTGTGCAAAACTGATTCACCCAGATTAAGTCCGATATGACTTGACATTGAGCTTTCTGCGTTAAGGGGCAGAACCTCTGAATTTTGTGAATTTGTAAGAGACCTTATTAAATCCAAATATCAAAATATTTAGGAAGAGACTGTCAAGTGTCTCTTTTGGTTCATATATGTTTTATATGGCATTCTAGAAACTTAAAGATTGAATATTATATATTTTGTGTCAAAAATAGTTCATTTTTCGGTAAATATTGTTACTGTGTGCCAATGTTGTGTTAAACCCCAGGAAATCTTAAAGAGAAGAGAGTATGCTTGCAAACCTTCGAGGCATTTATAGTCTAGTGGTACAGAGGTTTGCACTGATGCAGCTGTGTGAATTAGCTGAAAACAGATTTCTCCAGGGCTTCAGCTGTGCTTCCTCTGCACCACTCTCCCACACCCCTGGCCACCATGAACCCGGAAGCAGTACAGTAGCATCCAGAAGTACCCAACATTATCTTAGGGCTGTGACTCCTTGGACCATGGTTAGGAGGGTAGTTTCCATGAGGAAGCTTCTATAGAATCAAGGAGCAAATGCCAGCTCAGCCTGGGCTTCTGGTTTTGGCCTTGGACTTGATTCTATAGAAGCTTCCTCATGGAACCCGATGGGCTTTCCTGAAATGAACACCCAACTTAGAGTAAGAAGACTTGGATTCAAGACCTAATTCTACCACACCCAACACACCTGGCCCAAGAAATCTCCCTGAGAAGCTTTCCTCGAAGCAAAAAAGAAAACCTCCCTCTGAGAGTTGTTATGAGGCTGCTGTGAGATGATACAGAGTTCTATTTGAACCTGGGATGAGAAGTTTCTGGGACTCTGTTAACCAGCCATCAGTGAAGAGCTCCTGGAGAGTTCCCTCCTCAGAGTAAAGGCGACACATTTTATTTGTGACTTGAGAGAGTGCCTCTCTCAGCTTACATGCTTTACCTAAAAACAGGAAATATATAGGCAGTGGGAAGAACATAGTTCACTACTGGCCCAATAGGGAAATACTCAATTACACTGGACCCCCCCATATCCACGGGGGCTACATTCCCAGACCACCAGTGGATGCCTGAAATCTTGGACATAGACTATGCTTTCTCCTGTACATACATACCTATGATAAAGTTTAATTTATAAATTAGGCACAGTAAGAGGTTAACAACTATAACTTACAATAACATAGAACAATCATAACAATATACTGTAATAAAAGTTATGTAAATGTGGTCACTCTTTCTCAAAATATCTTACAAATTTAATGTATTTTGCATCTTAACTAAGCACTTATCACACACCGTGGCTATAACTTGCTGTTTGAGGCGTGACAGCAAAACTAGCATGAATTTCTTTTTCCTTCTTCACAGTTTCACAGATAGAAGATTCGTTCTTACTATAGATTTTAGCAAATTCAGCATACAATTTTTTTTCTTTCCTTCCTAAGTTGAGAACTTTCACCTTTTTACTTAAAGGAAGCACTCTGGGCTCTTCTTTGGCATATCCAAATTGCCAGCATCACTCGCCTTGCACTTTTGGACCGTTATTAAGTAAAATAAGGGTTATCTGAACATAAGCACTATGATATCTCAACAATAACCCAGTAACCTTTATGGCTACTAAGTGACTAATGGTTGGGATATGCTGGACAAGGGGATGATTCACGTCCGGGATGGATCAGGATGGAAGCCACAAGATTTCATCATGCTACTTAGAACACTGTACAATTTAAAACCTATGACTGGTTTATTTCTGAAAATTTCCATTTAATATTTTCAGACCTCGGTTGACCGTGGGTAACTGAAACTTCGGAAAGTGAAAACACAGGTAAGGGGGGACTACTGTTCATGAAGTCAGTACTGAGAACCTTGAAAGTGCTACAGGGGAGCTCATCTAAATCAAAGACAGGGCCTCTGCTCCTCAGGAATGTGAGCTCTGACTGGAGAGAGCCAACTCAGGTAAAATCATAAGGGGAACACAAGACGAGACTCAGCAGATTGGTGAATTGTGTAGTCCAACCTAAGGGAAGTAGGAAGGATAGTGTTAAAAGGAAAAGGAAAAAAAATATAAAAGTAAGTGGAAAAATAACAAGATTACAAATTGTGTAGAAAATAACTGTTGGTGGGAATGTAAATTGATTCTTTTTTTGTAAATCCAAAAAAGAGGGGATATATGCATACATATAGCTGATTCACTTTGCTGTACAGCAGAAACTAACACTACATTGTAAAGCAACCGTCCCCCAATAAAAAACAAAAAACTAAAAATAGAGTTGCCATATGATCCAGCAATCCCACTCCTGGGCAAATATCCAGAAAAGAAAAAAAAACTCTAATTCAAATAGATACATGCACCCCAATGTGCATAGCAGCACTATTTACAATAGCCAAGATATGGAAGCAACCTAAATGTCCATCAACAGATGAGTGGATAAAGAAGATGTGGTACACATATACAATGGAATATTACCCAGCCATAAAAAGAATGAAATAATGCCATTTGTAGCAACATGGGTGGACCTAGAGATTATCAAACTAAGTGAAATAAGTCAAACAAAGACAAATATTATGTGATATCACTTATATGTGAAATCCAAAAAATAATACAAAAGAATCTATATACAAAATAGAAACAGACACAGAAAACAAACCTATAGTTACCAAAGAGGAAAGGGAGGGATAAATTAGGAGTATGGGATTAACAGATACACACTACTATATATAAAATAGATAGGTGTAATAATCTATAATGGAAAATAATCTGAAAAAATATATATAACTGAATCACTTTGCTATACACCTGAAACTAACAAAATATTGTAAGTCAACTATACTTCAATTTTAAAAAGCATGAATATTAAATATCTCAAAAAACCCAAATTGTGTAGAAAATAAAGATGTTTTATATTGACCTTACGGTAAATTGTTACCTGCTTTTTAATTAAGGTATAATTTACAAATTAATAAATATTGATCAACTTGAATCATCAGACAAATAGGAATCTTCTTTACAAAGATTACTTCAAGTGAGAAAATACAGTGTAGAAATCTGAGGGATCCACTGTACTTGACTGAATACCCCTGTGGCATGCAATATGTTGGAAACAAATCCAGGGTGTGGAAGGTTAAATTCTGTCATTGCAAATCAGAGATAAGAGGAGAGAAAAAAAGAATCTCAGGTGAAAAATATTTTGATGAGTTCAAAATTCATTATATATCCTTAAATTTTATGGACCATGAACTTAATCAACCTTTGTCAAAAGACCAAGGAAAACACTGCTTAAGCGTGCTACTATGTCAATTTCAATGAGCATGATTACAAGATTACCAAAGTTGGAAAAGTTCATGTACCTAATAAAAATTGAGTGCTTTGTGACCACTCAATCACATTGCTCCAATGATTTCCCTGAATAATGGAGATGAAGTTTTGAAAGCTATTGTACTAGAAGTTTTAAAGGCAATGGACTTTATCTTCCCACTGAAATAAAACTGATTAACTTGAAAAGATATTTTCAAATAAAATCCAGGTTCTTAAAATGAGATAATTTCTATTGGTTACCTAAAAGTGAAACCAGTAGAACACTTAACATAAAAAATGAGAGTGTGCAAAAGAATAATGCTGGCAATATGCTACAAGTTCTTTGAAGAATTGTTTGCTGTAAAATCAAATTTTAAGGATCATTAATTCATTTTGCTGCAATAGCCTTCAAGGAAACATTGGATTTAAGTCAAGATTGTCATCGGTTAAGTAAGTGAGTGGTGTATATATATATATTTATATATATATGTTGTGTTTACATAGATAGATATACACGA